TCAATTGTTTATCTCCATTCATTTCTCTCTTTTATTTTTTCTCCTATTCATTTACTTTCGCTTTTTAATTCATTCTTTCTTTTTCTTCGCATTCTTTTTTTTTTTTTTAAATATTTCCTTGGAATTATTTTTATTTATTTACTCATTTTCCATCTTTCATCCTATCACTTTTTCATCATAATTTTCGCCATGTTTCTTCTTCGTTTACGCCTTTTCTCTAATGGATATTTTTCCATTCACCATTTTATCGAATTCATGACTAATATGACTTTTTCTTCATACATGTCGATATTTTTATTTTTTATTATTTCTTCTTTCAAACAGGTTTCCATCCTGTTTTTTTTTTTCTATTTCAAGTTTCTGCTTAATATATGAATCTGCGTAACCCACATCTGCAATAGCTTCCTCATTTGCCAATCTCTATGTCATATAGCATTTGTGTATGTACACCTTCTTCCCATATTAGTGTGTAACTGTGTAGGTGTTTCTCGTATTGTAGTATTGATTTCTCCAACTCTAAAGTTGATTTTTTTTATTCGATATAATCTCGATATGTATTTATCTTCTGCACCCGCCATTTTTTTTTCATCTAATTTGTTTAGATGGGACTTCAACCTCCATATTGCTTTTCAGTAGAGCCTTGAACCGCTTCCGTTTTTGCAAATGTCTCTACTTTGAAGCATCTTGTATCTTTCTTTCCACAAGTTGAGTTCAGAAAATAGAATCAAAATTTGTAAATTACATCGAAGCCCCCATTAATCATTTGCTCTGAAACCCAACTAGTTTAGAACAAATATCAATGACGTTCTCCTGTAGTAGTTTGCTCAGAAGTAAGTCACGTGGTCGTTGTGACGTGGGAAGGAGAACTGGGAACTGATTAGTTAAAGAAAGAAGAAGAAGAAAAACTGAAAAGCGTTGCATTAGAATTCAGCCAACAGGATTAATATTAACGTTGGGTGTAGATTTTTTTAAAAGATTATTTGTTTTTCGAATAAGTTTTTAGATAGGAAATAATTCTATTTGACGGTTAAAACAGATTTTGCCTACTTACCTTTTTGCAGCTATCTACATACCACGTTCAATCATCTGATCTCTCTCTCTCTCTCTCTCTCTCTCTCTTTCTATCTATCTATCTATCTATCTATCTATCTGTTCATGCCGTCTATCTATCTATCTGTTCATGACATCTATCTATCTATCTATCTGTTCATGCCATCGATCTATCTATCTATCATGCCACCTATCTATCTATCTATCTATCTATCTATATATATATATATATATATATATATATATATATATATATATATATAAATCATGCCACCCATCTATCTATCTATCTGTTCATGACATCTATGTATCTATATATCTATCTATCTGTTCATGACGTCTATGTATCTATATGTTCATGCCATCTATCTATCTATCTATCTATCTGATTATGCCACCTATCTATCTATCTATCTATCTATCTATCTATCTATCTATCTATCTATCTATTCATGACATCTATCTATCTATCTATCTATCTGTTCATGACATCTATCTATCTATATATCTATCCATTCATCTATCTATGTATCTATATGTTCATGCCATCTATCTATCTATCTATCTATCTATCTGATTATGCCACCTATCTATCTATCTATCTATCTGTTCATGCCTGCTATGTGTATCTCTCTCACTCTTTCTTTCTTTCTTTCTTTCTTTCTTTCTTTCTTTCTTTCTCCCTCCCTCCCTTAATTTTTCTATTCTGTATCTTCCTTCCTCTCTCCTGTCGCATTTAAATTTCATTCTCCCTTTGTTGCTTTCACTTTTTCTTCTTGTCTTTACATTTTCTCATTTCTCTTTTTCTACATCTCTCTCGCTTTTTTTCTGATATGCCTTTTTTTTTTCTTTCTTTTCCTCTCTTCCTTGTTTTCTTTCTCCACATTTTCCTCTTTCTTTCTTTTTTTTCTTCCTTCTTTCTACCCTATTTCTCGCCTCCCCAATTCTCTCTCTCTCTCTTTCTTAGGCTCTCTTGCTGTTTTCCCACTTTCTCTCGTCCTACTCTTTTTGCTCTCTCCCCGTCTCACTCTCTTTCCCCCTCGATATATCTGACTCTTCTCGGCATCTTCCTCTTTGCTTCTCCATTTCTCTTTCTTTATTTTTTAACCTTTCTAACTTCTCCCCACTCTCACAATTCCTTCTCACTTTCTACATCTTTTTCCTCTTTAGCCTCTCTTTCTAAATCCATATCTTCTTTCTCGCCATCTTCTTTTTCCTTCAATTACCCCTTGACAAGAGAAGCCGTCGTTAGATCCGACATGCTTTTCTCCTGCTAACATGACACAGGTTCGAATCCTGCCGGAGGGCGAATATTTTTAATAAGATTTCTCGAATATTCAGGCAAGTAAACGATAATAAATATACTGTTTAAAAAATGTTTTAATGTTCTCTCTCTCTCTCTCTCTCTCTCTCTCTCTCTCTCTCTCTCTCTAATAACCTAGAGGTTAGAATCTCCGACTGATGCCAAGTTGGTCGGGTTTCGGTCCCGACTTGAAGCGATAGGATGTCTAGGATCCCTGATGAGCTGTAATACAGTGAAACAGTCTATCTGTGGATGACGATATTAGATCCCGAAGAATAATTAATTCGGTCGAGCGCTGTGGGGAGAAAAGCGCGAATTTGTAAACAGTCACTATTATTGCTAGGTACTTGTTTGGAAAAACCTCGAACAAATCGGTACCCGAGGAAAAATGTGGAATAAAAAAAGAAAGAACCAAGAACATTAAAACAAGGCAAAAACAATCGTCCAGTGTTGAAGCTCCAAGTCCAAAGGAAATATTTTACAAACATTATGACTGCTTATTTTTAGCATAATCCGTTCATATTCATGGATATTTTTCCGTATTACAATCATATGATGCAAGAAATGCACTGTAACAGTGAAAATTACTTTTATTACCCAATTACTCCTAAAGATAATCAGATATAATGTTTGTAATTTATTTAATCAGACATGCTTAAAAGAGCATTTGCTGCCTAAATGCACAGATAGATAGATAGATAGATAGACAGACAGACAGACAGACAGGCAGGCAGACATGCAGACAAGCGTAGAATTAGATAGATAGATAGATAGATAGATAGATAGATAGATAGATAGATAGATAGATAGATTAAAGAATACATTATTTATCAACCTAATAAATGCCTCCCAAATGCTAAACAACGTATTAGGAAACTTGGAAAATTACGTTTGACATCAATTTTGATTGATATGTTTTTTTGTTTCTTTATTTTTTACAACTTATCAACCTTTTGTGGGTTATTTCAACCCGAAATATATTTATGATCCTACAAATAGTTGTTGTTTTTTGTGAATTAATATTTCATTGACAATTTTTGGGAAGATAACATTGAATTTTTCGGATACAACACCTACTATTTAACCTACAGATGGCGGGGAGAAGAGAAAGATTCATACCTTTTCCCCAAGGTTATTTGCGCGTAAGTGTATGTAACGAACTCGACTAGAATTTGAACTCGGTCCTTCTCATTCCGAGTCACTATCCATCAAATCACTCGCACATCCCACGAGAAACAAAGAAAACTGTGTTGTTCTGCTATGTAATATTAATCCTTTTATATTCTCCTCGGGAGTTAAAAAAATTGAGGAAACCGTGATGCGGTTCTACAGAATGATGATGAGAATAAATACCATCGACTGGACATATGAGTAAAGAGGAAGTTTTAATGATAATGGAAGCAAAGTGAAAGTCAGTCTCTTGGGCGAACATATCTCTTTCGACTAGGCAGAAGATACTTCCGCAGTAGTCTGCCGTTTCTTTCTGCGGTAGACTGGTTGCCAACCAAGGCTACAGAACCCAGTCGGTTATGCTATTCGACTGGAATTCGAACTCGGCTCTCACTCCGAGCTGTTATCAATTATATCATACGACACATCCAGTGGAAATAAGAAGCACTCTTGTACTAAAAATCACTTAAACATTTATAAGTCTCATAATGAGGAAAGAGGGTTTGGAGAATTTGACACACGCAAGACATAGTGAAAGCAAGAGGGTAAAACAATGTGTAACCTGCTGAAAAAGCTTGTTCAAATGGTTGGCTGAAAAAAGCAGTGGGTGAGATAGTAAAAAAAACATATTGCTAAGAGCTACAAAGGATAGGAAGTTGTGGAGAACCATTATCACCCATGTCCTGAAGGGACACGACACATTGCAGAAGACGAAGAAGAAATCAACATTTACTTTTTGGTGAGTGACCTTGTGCCATACAAAACTCAGTCTTGAAAAGAGCAAAGCTTATTTTATTTTTTTATTCTATTCAACTGCGAAAAATAATTCTTTGAAAAAAATTTTTTAAAAGTGACCAGAGAAACTTGATAACAGATAAATGGTTCACTTCCTGTTTCATAAAAGCACACAAGAAGTCCGTTACGTAACCCCTGACCTTCAAACCAGCCAGCATCGCGATCGAAAAGCCTGTCGAATTCTTGATGCATCGTATTATCATGCAAAATCGCAGTCCCAATGGGAAAATTCTTTATCGGACCAAAATTAGAAACAGAAATTCATTTCTGATGAATATCTCTTAAGATATCAAACTTGGAGGAATACAAACTGTTCATTAATGTATAGCTTCTCGACAAAGAAGTCTTTCAAGTTCTGTATTCTCGATCTGGTTAAAAAAAATAATGTACTTAATATTTCATTCATTTTTTACGGCTTATCAACCCTTTACAGGCTATTTCAAGCCAGCAGAAAATATTCGTAGATTCTATCAAATGTTTTCAATAGTTTTTGTTAAGTTTTCTTTTAGCTATTTATGATTTTAGTGATACCGGTTTTACTATTTAATCCATAGCTGGGGAAGATGGGGATTTATACCTTTTCAAAATGTATTTGCGCGTAAATGAAAATAACTAATTCAACTTAGTTCTCCATTTTCAAGATTTTCGAGTCGTTATCCATTACACCATCCGCAGATCCAAGCTTACAGCACCTGGTATTCCCAAGCGTTCACCCATCTAGGTACTGACTAGGTTCGACGTTGCTTAACTTTGGTGATCGTACGAGAATAGACGTTTCAAAGTGATGTGGCCGTAAGCCAAGCCACCAACACATCCACGCTTACAGCACCTGGCATTCCTAAGCGGTCACCCATCTAGCTACTGACCAGGTTCGACGTTGCTTAACTTCGGTGATCGTACGAGAATAGGTGTTTCAAGATGATGTGGCTGCAAGCCAAACCACCAACAGATCCACACTTACAGCACCTGGTATTCCTAAGTGGCCTCCCATTTAGGTATTGACCAGGTTCGATGTTGCTTAACTTCGGTGATCGTACGAGAAGAGGTGTTTCAAAGTGATGTGGCTGCAAGCCAAACCAGCAACACATCCACGCTTACAGTACCTGGTATTCTTAAGTGGTCACCCATCTAGGTACTGACCAGGTTCGACGTCGCTTAACTTCGGTGATCGTACGAGAACAGGTGTTTCAAAGTGATGTGGCCGTGAGCCATATCACCTGGATTTCCTAAGCAGTTACCCATCTAGATACTGAACAGGTTCGACGTTGCTTAAATTCGGTAATCTTACGAGAACATGTTTCAAAGTGATGTGGCCGTAAGACATACCACCCACACATCCAAGCACGTGGTATTCCTAAATGTTCGCCCATCTAGTTACTGACCAGGTTCGACGTTGCTTAACTTCGGTGATCGTACGATAACAGCTGTTTCAAATTGATGTGGCCGCAAGTCATACCACCCACACATCCATGCTTTTTAGCGCCTGGTATCCTCAGCGGTTACCCTTCTAAGTACTGACCAGATTCGACATTCCTTAACTTCAGTGATCGTACGAGTACCGATGCTTCCATAGCCTCACACTCGTCAATAAGATAAATATTCTTCTCTTCCATGTCAAGGCAAAGTTGCATAAGGTAAGATTAACACAGGAATAAATTTTCAAACACTTTTAGTCTGTTCTAAAACAGCCGCCATATTCGCCTGACCTTTCATCAACCGATTGTTATTTTCTTTCGATCACAGCAAAACCATTTGAAGGGGAAAACATTCTCTAAATCAAGGGCCGGCAACCTACGGCCCGCGGGCCGGATCCGGCCCGCGAAGGCATTTTGACCGGCCCGCGAGCCTGATTACCAATGACTCTATTTTTAAAATGAGAGACGAGGCTTTCGAATGAGACTATCTGCCAGTTATCTTTCATGAGACTTATTTTACCAAGTTGCGTTGCCTACGTTTAATGTCAAATAATGGATACATATTTGTTATGACCCTTGGCTACATTAAAAGATAACAGAAGCGAAAGGAACGATAAAGTGAAAGAGGCCAGGGAGGAACTGACATGCGAGGTAGCAGAAATCTAAAGACAGTTAAACATACGCGCATTATACATACATGCCTCATGTATGTGTGGATGATACCGCATGTGTACATACGTAAGTGTATATGTTTGCAACTATTTGTACTCATATGTATGGGTATGTGTGCTTCGTTTTTGTTTGATGTGTGTGTGTGTTGTTCGTTTGTGGAACAATTTTCATTAACAGTTTCAAACCTACATGTCATAATTTCATCCATTTTCACTTTGGTTAATTTTTTTTCACTTTGAAGTATTTTGACGTTCCTTGAGGAAAAGTAAATTTTGTTAGGTGTTTTTTTTAATTTTAGATTTTCTTTTTGTTTTTCTGATTTCTCAATGTTTATTTTCATTATGGTTTTAAATATTTAGGTTGACAGGGGTCTGCATATGTAATTTTCCTTAATTTTTCATTAATGGCCTTCGTCCGGCCCGCAACCCGTCGTTATAACACGATCCGGCCCGCGAGGGGGAATGAGTTGCCGACCCCTGCTCTAAATAAAACCACATTTGAAATTCACAGTTAGTCCAAATTCATATTAATGTCAACATTTTACTCCCTCTCCAGTGGTCTATACAAACCCCAGTTTTAGAAACCCTGCTTTGAGTTATTTTAATTAGATTTAACATTTTTTTTTTTTCAAAATTAGGTCATTTGCAGTGTCAAGAATTAAATCTGTTTTTTTTTTTTTTTAAATTTGTGAAAACTTTATTTATTGATTCATTTGTTTTTGTTTATCAAATTTTGCAGGTTAACGCCCAGACATTATTTAGCTTTTCCGATTATCCAGTTCACACATCTCCTGGCGGCTTTGAATAGGAGTAGAGGTTTATTCTTCTTTCCTGTTTAGGATTCAGTTTCCAGTTCCTTCTAAAACACACTTTAACTCTTTACTAGTAAGGATTTCCGCCTAAACTCTGAAGGAAAATTTACTATTTATTTTTCTCAATAGGAGTAAATAGGTCTGCCTATAAGGAACAACTTCCTCCCTGGACTTTAAAACAGTAGTAACATGTTCCTTGTTTCCTGGTTACGAAAAATTGGGTTTCTGGTAATTCTAACATATTCGTTTTGTTTCAATTAATTTCACTCTTTGCTTTTCAGTTAACTTTGATCTCCAATCTTTGAAATTAATGTCAATCATTAGGGTTTTTCTTCTTAATTTGTTTTTAATACCTATACCTTAATTTGATTTTTTTTCTCACATTTCTTCACACTCAGTAACAGGACGAGAAATGATTAAACTAAAAATAAAAAAAGAAAATCAATGACTGAACATGAAAACAAATAGAAATTGGTATTTTTTGCATTAGATTAAATAAATTGTTTTTTTCAACATTCTTACAACAAAAAAGAGCATAATAAAATGGCTAACTTACTGCAAACGGATAAAACACAAATCATATCACCAAACGCCGGATAATAAATCGTTATTCCAACAAATCTTCATTTACGAAGTAGTTTATCAATTTAAAAATCTTCCATTTATCATTGGTTCGGATACCCAGGACGTGGATGGATATCTACAAAAAAGTAGAATCAGGACCGCCAAGTTCAGATTTGGAATTGTCTTACAGGACGCGGATGTTTTTATAATGCCTTTGAGAACGCTGGATGAACTAATCGTTTTTCCCCCACCGGCTATGGTTTAAATAAGCTTGACGTGGCAAATCAGTCTAAGAGAAAGAAAATTGAATTCCAAACCAGAAGGCAATCGGAAATCAGGACGCGGGGCAGTTCACGTCTTCACAGACGCTGGAAAAGGAAACCATTGAGAGTCATAATCCAGGACTGATACTCTTCAGTAGTTCTTGTAAAAATCAAAATATCATTCAATTTCTTACCCAGGACGCGGAAAGAAGCTTTTTAAATATTTATTTAGCTATTACTTACTTGCAATAATAAACTCTGTCAGGACGAAATGAAACAATATTTTCCATCTTGACGTTCTAGAAGTTGTTTTATGTTCTCGCCAATGCTAAACACAAAAAGAATTTTAAAAATTAGCAACGCTGGAAAAGATGATTTTTTTTTAGGACGCGGACATATTTTTATCGTCTTATTATGGGACGCTAAAGGAAAAACCCTGAACTATCTTAATTCTATATTGATGTGTGACTATTTTTAAATTATCCTTAGGGCGCTAGTATAGGCTGCAGCCAAAAGACCTTATCCAGGACGCGGATTAGTTTATCGTTATAACTTTTTTATTTTTTTTTTTTTTTTTTTTACTATAGTTTGTTGAGATATGTGCGGATTTGTTTTCAATAAATAGGAAGATAGTGGTATTTTTCGTCTTTAGCAGGACTGTATTATTAATATTATCGTCTATCATCTACAGACCTCCCAATCAACGAACTTTGGATGCAACAGACAAAATCTGGAGGCAAAATAAAAAGAAATTTGCAAGAAAAAAAAACAAAAGACTTACAAATTGTCAGCAATATATTTCAAAATTGCAGTCTTAGTATAGGACGCGGATGTATTATCGTCTAAAAGTGGAACCACTTATCGTCGGGTGTACAGTATATGTAGTTTATCGTCAAGGACATTAGCACATCGTCTTGAGAAGGTAGCTGGATGAAATTTATTTTCTTTCTTGTTGGACGAAAATGCAGTTTTCGTGGACCCGTGTTGAGGTAGAAATAGATGGAATCAGTTATCTCAAGGACGCGAAAATAGTTAATCGGGTCGTTGAATGAAAACGGACGCTGCTATTTTGTGGAATCAAAGAATCTCAAGAAGACCTTCATGTAGTTTATACATCTGATTAGGAGGAAGGAGAAGCCAGGATACCCTTACCCTTGTTCCTTGTTTATCGTCTTATATCTGACCAGGATCAATCATTTACAGTGATTGTTGGAAGTAGTTTATCGGATAACAGAACATGGGATGCACAAACAAATCAACCATTCTGAACACTTTTGTAGATCGAACAGACCAAAATATCGTGGACGGAGATGGTTGAAACACTATGGAGGATGACTAAGGGTATAATTAAAAGATCAGGACACAGAACTGCTTATTTAAAACAATACATTGCTCGTTTTTTTTATGTAGTAAAAGCAGTCCCTAAACATAGTCAGCACCTTCACGTTTTCCTTCCTTTGTCCCAGATTGTATCCAGGACCAGAAAAAAATTACTCCATTATAGACATCTATAATTTTTCATGTATATTTGTAAGTGAAGTATCTCCTTTATAGCATTTTTGTTTTAATTGTCAAATGTCTTTTTTTCCATAGATATGAAACTTTTAACTTCCTCTTTTACAATTGATTTAATTATTGTTTTATTTTCAATGTTAAATAAAAAAAATGCTTTACTGTACAACTTATTTTGTTCTTTTTGTTATCTATAATTAAATAAGTATTTTCATATCTGAAAATATTTGAAGGGGAAAAAAATTACTTTGTTATTCTTTTTTATTTGTCGATATTTTCATATATTTGAAAGTTAACTTTTAAAAAATTAAGTAAAACTTTTACACTTATCACTTATATTTGAATGTTAACTTTCTTCAGTAAATTAAGTACAAATAACAAAAAACAGAGAAAGTTAATTTTAAAAGGAAAAAAAGGTATTTGTTACTAATTTCTTTAAGGGAGTAAATACTCAAAATTGTATACTGAATTAGGTAAATGGTTCAAGAGCAAATGTCTCTCAAGGATAAATAAGGGATGACAAAAAGACGAGAAGAAGTTAAATTTTTTTTTCTGGTTGTTAACATCCAAAAGGTAGGTTTCTTCAATATGCGGAATTGTTGATTTGAGTTCTTATATTTATTTTTTATGCGAAATAATAATATTTTGGAAAAATTTGAATTTTAATAATCGATATTATTGTTGAAATGATTTTTTTCCAAAATCTTGGCCTTTAAGTCAACAAAATTTACATAATCGTCATGTTCATTTTTGACAACTTTGTAAACAAAAAGTGAAATTCTCCGTTTAAAAATCTAGTAAAATTCAATTATACTTTTTTCAAGTTATTTTAGGAAAAAAAAGAAAATTTAAACATACTTAATGTAATTTGAATAAACATTTTTTTTTTTTTTAAATTTTTAGTTGGAAATAAAGCATGTCACTAGAAATCTTTTTTTTATTTTATCAAAAGATATCGGTTGTTTGAT